TCCCCCCCCCCTTCAAGGAGGGACCAATTCCTGCCCCCTCCCCCCCAGTGCTGGGCTCAGGTCACAGGCTGCCAGGAAGGGGACCCGCATGACTAGCAGGAGCTACCCTGTGCCTTTGTCTGGCTGTGTAGGAGGACCCCAATGCAGGGTCACTCGCTTGCCAGCCTGGGGGACTGGACTCTGCTCCAGGTGCTTGGAGCCAGTCACATGACTGCTCCGTGCCTCAGTTTCCCTTTTTTGTGTCTGTTTAGATTGCAAGCTCTTCGGGGCAGGGACTGTCTCTCACTCTGGCCTTGGGGACGGGGGGAGGGGGGGGGCTGTGCAGCCTGTAGGGATGATCCAGGTTTGGGGCTAGGTGTTGCTGTGATGCACCGAATCCTAAGGCCATGATTGGCATGGGGGATATGCAGCCAGGCAAGGGGGGAGCAGCTGGGGCTGGTGCAGGGAGGAGGATGCACAGCCAGCAGAGTCTTTGTCCCAGCTGCAATGTGAACAGGTGCTGCCCTTTGTAAACCAAACTGGGGCTGGCTCAGTTTCCCCTCCCACCTATTGGCAATGGAGCCCATGAGCTCTTTCTTCGCTCTGGGTCTGAGCAGCATTAAGCACCACGGGGCTGCCAGGCACTTCCCTAATACATGTGATCGGTGATATGATAGAAGCTTTGTGTATACATAGCACTTTTCATGCCCAGTTCTCAAGCCCTTCTAGGGTGGAGCAACTTGCATTGCTTTGTTCAACAGGTGGGGAAACTGAGGCACAGAGCAAGGCGGCCACTTGGCCAAAGGTCATCCAGCAAGTCAGTGGCCGAGCTGGAAATGGAACCCAGGTGTCCTGATTCCCTGTGTTCCACCCCCTGGTCTAGTCGGCTGGGCACACTCCTCCTCCCCCCGAGAACGCCTGTGTGATCTTGAACAAATTATTGTCTTTGCACCTGAGTTTCTCCATGTGGAAATGGCAGCACGGTGCTTGCTTTGAGTTGTCTGTTTAGACCATGAGCTCTTGGGGTGCAGGGGCTGCCTCTTACTCTGGGGTTGTGCAGCCCGGATCCAAGCTAGGGCCTCTAAGAGCTACGGCTACACCCTCCTGGTGGAAATGCCATAGAAGTGGTGGAGAGGCAATGTTCTAGCACCGGCATTGCTGACCAGTGAGAGCATGGAACAATAAATCGCCTCTTCTCTTTTATTCTGTAGCCCATTCTCTGCCGCTGTCCACCCAGCGCTCGGAGGAAGAGGAAAAGGTAAAAACAAAACAAGTCAGGAGGGAATTAAATAGACCAGACCAAATATGTCCCCTGAAAGGAGCAAGAAGCCGAAAGGGGCTAACTAGGGGGAAAACCAGCCCAGCGTGGTCCAGTGGAGAGAGCCGGGGGCCCCCTGGGTATTTGTCTGTCTTGTCTATTTATGGTGTCGCCAGCATCAAACGTTAAAAAGTTGGGAGATTTGTCTTCATCCTCATGAGCTTTTTTAAACATTTTCAGCTCCTCTGATTTGCCTGTTGCTCTGGAACTTGGTGCGAGTCACGTTTTCCAGGCTTTCCCCTACAGCTGTGCAGGGCTTGTGTGGTCTGAAAATTGGCCTAGGAAGAAAAGGGCCTGCTTAGTTCCTGACCCAGGAAGGCCCAGAGGGGACCCGATAAGTCTCCCAGTAAGTTATGGGAAGGGCTGTTACAAAAAAGGTGAGGATAATGAAGAACAGTTCTCCCCCAGAGGCTTGCTGGTTCCTTCCCCTGCAGCACTCGAGGTCTACACAACAGGGCTAAAGCTGAACTAAGCTACTCAACCTCCGCTACGTCAGTTGTGTAGCTGAAGTCGAAATACAGGGCCTCCCCGCTGTCGCCCCCGGTGTACCTCTGTTCCACACGGAATGCTTGTGGGAGCCGATGCGTTAGGAGTCCTTCCAGCCCCCGCTCTTAGGTCACGCCAAAAAAACCCACCAAAATAATCTGTGCAAAGGGACGTCAGCCATGGGGAAAAACATCCCCCACTTTAAGTTGTTTGGCTGTAAGTCCAGGGCTGTGTCTACACTGGGCCACTTATTCCGGAAAATCAGCCGCTTTTCCGGAATAAGCTGCGAGCTGTCTACACTGGCCCT